TTTTCTTCCCAGCCAAAAGTCAACCGTGCCCAAAACGGCTGTCGGAACACCCCTCCCTCCAAGGAGGGGAGAGCAGTTCTCCTGAGACAACGGCAGCTGCCCCGCGCCCCTCCTGACACCAACCTTGCGCCCAGCTTCACGTGATACGCGCCCCGCGGCCGCTGCTCGGCAGCTGGCGTAGGCGATGGGATGCGGAGCGATGGGATGCGGAGCGACAGGCCCCACGGAGCGACAGGCCCCGCTGGCCTGCGCCCTCGCTTCCCCACACGCCTGCCGCTGCCGGCCCTGTCGCCTGGCATTAGCGCAGAGCTCCCGATGAGCCCGGGATGCTGTGCCGGAGTGCTGTGGGGGTGGCGAGGTACTTTGGTGTCAGATGGGTGGGTGAGTGGTACCCTGCCCCTTGGGGATGGAGCTGAGGCGATGCCATCCCCTGGTTTTGCGCTCGGGCAAGAATCCCACATGAAGGATGGTGTGAATTTGCCGTGGGAACATCTAGGAAAGAAGAGACACTGCAGAGAGGGCAATACCCTGAGCGTGGCTCCGGCACATGTCAAGATGGCGCTGAGCCCATGACCCAGAGCACACGCTCATCTAAACATATCTTAAAGAATCATAGAATCACAGAACGGTTTGGGTTGGAAGGGACCTTAAAACCCATCTAGTTCCAACCCCCCTGCCATGGGCAGGGACACCTTCCACTAGACCAGGTTGCTCCAAGCCTCATCCAGCCTGGCCTTGAACACTTCCAGGGATGGGGCATCCACAGCTTCTCTGGACAACCTGTCCCTGTGCCTCACCCCCCCCTCCGGGAAGAACTTCTTCCTGATATCCAATCTAAACCTCCCCACTTTCAATTTAAACCCGTTACTCCTTGTCCTGTCACTACAGGCCCTTGTAAAAAGGGAAGGTGAAGTGCTGCTCTGGCTTCAGCACCCAAAGTGGGTGCTACCTACCTGCTCCTCTTCTGTCACCATCCCTGTAGGTTTCCTCACAAATCTTCCACCTCCAGCCTCAGCTTCCCAGGCATTAGTGCCCCTGCAAACCTGCATCCTCAGCTGAGGCTGATGTCTGAAGCTCAGGGAAAGCTCAGGCAACTGGAGTCTAAGAAAAACTCCTGAGGGACTCTGCAGGGACACACCAGCCTGGAGAATCCCAGAAGAACTCTTCTAGTTTGGCTACAGTTCCCCTATCCCTACAGGAAGGCTGAGCCCCACTATGCCAGGGATGGCGTATCTGAGAGTTGTATCAGTGCTGCTCCCAAGGGCTCCCCGCTGTCTTTACCTGGGAAAATCCAGCTCCTGCCTTCCACACCTTTCTGGTGCTCGGAAAGGACCCTGCACCACACTGCTGCTCCAACGAGCAAGGCAGTCTGACCTGTCAAAGCAGTTCACTGAAGCAGCCTGCGAGGCAAATCATCTCGGCAAGGAAAAACATAGCCACGAGCACAGCTTCCCTGACAGGCAGGAGTTGGGAAATGTAATGGATGGTCCCTGAGGAATACACCGTCCTCTCTCCGCAGCCATCTGCACCATTACTGCCCCGGCTCGCTGCCAAACCGGCCTCCTGCTCCCTGACTCCGCAGGGCAAAGGAAGGGGTCAGCACAAAGCACGACGTCCCTGGCACCCAGGGACCTGCGCCTGCGCTCGCGGGGATAAGGGCTGGCTCTGGGGACCAGCCACCAGCGCCGACTCCTGTCTCCCCCGGCACTCCCGTCTCAGCCATGGGCGCGCTGAATGCCAGTCCCTGCCCGCCCTCCCACCGCTGGGGCTGGACACGCGATGTACGTGACTGGACCTGGATCCTTTCCTTATGACGCTCACGGTTTTCCAAAGAGCTCAAAGCAGCGAAGCCTGGTGCTTGCCAGCTCCATGCCTGCTCCTGCCTCCCAGCGTGCGCCCAACAGATCCCAGGGGCTGGGAGGTCCAGCCATGGCGGTCCCACTGCCCGGAACATAGCCTTTGGAGCTGGCAGCTTGTGAAAACAGTAAGACCAGTAAGGCCAGGCTCCTTCTTTAACCATGAAACCTAGGTCTGAGCTGGTCACTCCACTGTGTGTGTGTGCTCATACTCACCCCAACACATTACGCACCACAAGAATCGAGTATCACTCATTTTCTGAGGTTTTAGGGCAAGGTAGCAGGGACTCTTTTAGGCTGAGTGGTCCATGAAATGTCTGCTCATGCACCTCCCCCCACCACAGCACGCTCATCCATACGTGTGGAAGGAGTGCTCCCGTCTAACTGACCGGTAATTGCATGGGACTGCAGAGAACCCCCACGCCCAGCGGGGACCAGCCCAGTCCCCGGGGTCCCAGCAGGGCTCCAGCATGCAGGCGTGTGGCCAGGCTGAGTTTAGGAACCTGCAGACTGGGATCTTCTGTGACTTTTCCAGTGGAGATGACCCCAAAACATCTAGCAATCAGAGTCTGCTTTGCCTGCCTTTCCCACGTGGCCTCGTCCCTACTCACCAACGTGTTACTCCTGCTGTCTCCTCCCTCCTGCCAGTCCATCCCTCTGCACCCACCTTCACTGTGAAGGAGTGCAGAGACCCAACCAGAATTACCCCAACATCACATCAGTCCAGTGCTGCTCCTCCTGGCATGTCCTGCTGGCTCGTGCCCAGCATCCCATAGGCATAGCGTGGCAGTTTCTGGCCCAGCATCCCTGTCCTGCGCTCTGCTGGCTGGTACCACCATGTTCCTGGTGACCACGGTTCTCTTCCCTCTATCCTCTCCACCTTTTGGGCAGAAGTCCCTGGGAGATGCACCCTAAAGGCTCCTTAGGTCTTCTCTTGTGCTGCAGACAGGTTGGCTGGCTCCCTGCACGCGCCCTAACCCTCCGGACTCAGAGGACATTGGCTGTGAGCAGGGCTGGGGAAGGCTGGGGAAGCCCGAGGAGTGGAGAGGCGGCTGATCCCAGCACAACACAGCTCATCTCCACCCTGGGATGGCCACTCGCTTTCCATAGAGCCTGTTCCAACCTACATGCCCGGTCCTAATTACAGCGTGCCCTCGCACACAGGGGACCAACAGCCTCGCCCCTTCCCCGGCCGCTGGCTCTCACCAGGATCCTTACACAAGCTCCGGCCAACGCCGCTCCATTAGCTCACTCCGAAGGAGGCTTGATAGAAAATCTGCTCAATTATTTAGCAGGCAAACGAGGGGATGATACCGGCTGAAGGCAGCCAGGGCCTCTGG